TTTGAGAGTAATAAGAATAAATATAAAGCACTGTTATTTTTTTCTTTATTTCTGAAAATGCCTGAGTAAATGGGGTTATCACTGATGCTAGACTGCTGTGGAGATAAGGCTGCAGCAGTGGCTTGCTACGGGAGTATACAGTAACGCCTTATCTTCAAAGCTCTGAGGGGGAAAGAGTCAAAATGCCTGTCTACTCCTTTTATGCATCCTTGTAAGGGATTTCATAGAGTCCAATTTTTTTCTTTTGTAACAAATATGGTTTACAACTTTCAAGAGTTTAAACCCCATACAACATCAACACTCCCTTTGTCGGTGGTTAATGTGTTTTTGATAACTTTGCTTTCACTTGTGTCTCTTTCAACAATATTATTTGCTTAGAAAGATATCCACAAGTTTTTGAATAGCCTGAGCCCGGCTCTCAGTACTTTCAGTACTTTGATTTAGATTTTGAACAAAGTTTGGTTACATGTCCATAGCTGATTGATCTGGTCATCTGATTTCTGTCTCATATGCAAGTAAATTTTTCTGTTGTTGATCGGGGGGAAAACCAATTTTTCTGTTTTCTGGTTGAGGGAAAAAAACAACAAATTATCGATCAAATTAGACATAATTATAGTTAGAGAGATGAAGATTTGACAAAGTACTGTTGTTAATATTAGGGATGAACCTTATAAACTACCTATTCATTGATGTTTTTACTAGAATTAACACTTTGACTGGATAAGCATAGATAGTTCACAATTGTTATTTTACCCAAGTTAACCCAACTAATGTACACTTGTGTTTTACTGCTTAAATTTATCTTTCTTTTTTTTAGGTCACCTGAGTCACTCAGGTGACCTATTGCTATCCGTTTTTGTCTGTCGTCGTCGTGGGATGTGCGTTAACATTTGAACATTTTTAGCTTTTTCTCTGAAACCACTCAACCAATTTCAACCAAATTTAGCATATAGCATCTATGCGTGAAGGGGAACAAAAATTTTGAATTTCATGGTCCCTGCCCCCCTGGGGCCTGAGGGGTGAGGCTAAAACCACCAAAATTAATGCAATCTTTAAAAATCTTCTTCTTTTCTCCTGGACATCAAGCAGTCATGTTGGCGTGATTGTAATAAGCATTGAGCCCTCTACCAAAATTGTGAAATTCATGGCCCCAGGGTCAGGGGTTCTGGTGCTAGGGTTGGGCTATATAGATCATATAGTGGAAGTGCATGATTTCTTTGAAAATCTTCCTCTCTGCTCCTTGGTATTGAATAAAGTAACTAAGTACATAGTTATAATGAGCAAGAGTGCCTCTTCCAAAATTATAAATTTCATGACCCCAGGATCAGGGGTTCTGGTGTTAGGGCGGGGCTCTATTGCTTATATAGTGAAAATGCATGATTTCTTTGAAAATCTTCCTCTCTGCTCCTGGGTATTAAATAAACTAAGTACATAGTTATGATGAGCAAGAGTGTCTCTTCCAAAATTGTGAATTTCATGGCCCCAGGGTCAGGGGTTCTGGTGTTAGGGCGGGGCTCTATTGATTACATAGTGAAAATGCATTCATTCTTTGAAAATCTTTTTCTCTGCTCCTGGGTATTAAATAAACTAAGTACATAGTTATGATGAGCAAGAGTCACCCTTCCAAAATTTTGAATTTCATGGCCCCAGGGTCAGGGGTTCTGGTGTTAGGGCGGGGCTCTATTGATTATATAGTGAAAATGCATTCATTCTTTGAAAATCTTCTTCTCTGCTCCTGGGTATTAAATAAACTAACTAAGTACATAGTTATGATGAGGAAGAGTGCCTCATCCAAATTTGTAAAATTTCATGGCACCAGGGTCATGGGTTCTGGTGTTAGGACAGGGCTCTATTTCTTATATAGTGAAAATACATTAATTCATTGAAAATCTTCTCTGCTCCTGGGTATTAAATAAACAATTTAAGAACATAGTTATGGTAAACATGGCTGCCTTTTCAGAAATTATGAATTTCATGGCCCCTGGGTCAGGGGTTCAGGTGTTTGGGGGGGGGGGCTCTATTGATTGTATAGTAAAATTGCATTAATTCTTTGAAAATCTTCTTCTCTGCTCTTGGATTTTAAATAAACTAACTTAGTACATAGTTATGACGAGCATGGTTGCCTTTTCCAAAATTGTGAATTTCATGGCCCCAGGGTCAGGGGTTGTGGTGTTAGGATGGGGCTCTATTGAACAGTGTCTCAACTAATTTTTTATTTGTCTAAACTATTATTTTATTCAAATATCATCTTTTCAAGGTTTGATTATTAATGGCTCATTCTTCATTACTTACAAAAAACTGTCCTGAAGCACAAAATTGAAATGATAAAATTTCACTTTTCAAATTTGAGCAGAATATAGCTGAATTGGTAAACAAATTTTACTGAAATTCCAGATCAAGAGGTTTTTACTGAAAATATTTTTAAATTTTCCATCGTCTTACCTGTATTGTTGCAATGCCATACAACTTGCACAACTATATGCAAATGCAGATTATAAACATTTCTCAATTCCTCAATGCAGGAATTTCATGACTACGTAGTGTGAATGCAGGCTTCATGTATGTTGAATTATTATGTCTGTCAATGCAGGCATTGACCGACTCCAACGTCAGTCAATGCAGCATTGGTTGACTACACAGTCAGTCAATGCAGGCATTGACCAGCTACACAGTCTGTCAATGCAGGCATTGACCAACTACACAGTCAGCCAATGCAGGCATTGACCAACTCCAACATCAGTCAATGCAGGCATTGGCCGACTACACAGTCCGTCAATGACTGCATTGGCCAACTACACAGTCAGTCAGTGCAGGCATTGGCTGACTACACAGTCAGTCATTGCAGAGATTGGCCAACACCACAGTCAGCCAATGCAGGCATTGGCCAACACCACAGTCAGCCAATGCAGGCATTGGCGGACTAAACAGTCAGTCAATGCAGGCATTGGCCGACACCATAGTCAGCCAATGCAGGCATTGGCCGACACCACAGTCAGTCAATGCAGGCATTGGCCGACACCACAGTCAGACAATGCAGCCATTGACTGACTACACGGTCAGTCAATACAGGCATTGGCCGACTACACAGTCAGTTAATGCAGGCATTGGCCAATACCACAGTCATTCAATGCAGGCATTTGCCACTAGCACAGTCAGTCAATGCGGGCATTGGCCAACTCCATGGTCTTTCAGAGGAGGCATAAGTTGACCCCTCATTTTCTCAATGTAGAACTTGGCTGACTTTTACAAGCTTTTTTATCAAATAAGGAATTCTGATCGTTAACAATTTTCACTTCATGGATCAATAGAATTATGAACAATTTGAGATTCATTTGAAATAAATAAGTTAATATGCAACCAAGTAATTTTTAATACATTAAAGAAAAATGGACACAAAAAATATCTTGTGAGTGAAACTTGATTTTTTTTTTTACATAGTTTGATATAAATTCATTTCATACATTTAAAGGATGCCAGCATGAAAATGATCATAACTGCTAAATGTCTACAAAGTACTCTATGTGCTTAGTACCTGATAAAAATTTACATCATTTCACTGCGGGGAACTTGGTGATATTCCAACATGAATGAAATATTTCCAAACACATCGTACACAAATAATCAACTAAATCAGAAATAGCAATTGGTAGTAAAAATGGTCGGAATCTTCCTGCAATATATAAACATTCGGGTCATATTAAAAGAGTTTTTGCTCCTCTGTCATTTTCTTTTCCTTCGGTCTGCATTGTAAGTTAAAGCCTGTGTATTCCTGAAAAAAATGCAGTGTTGGTAAAGTTATCAAGAAAATTTGATCATAATTACTTTTAAAAAAAAATATTTATGATAATTGTTTCAGATATATTCTGACAACCATTTATTTTGACTATGTCTATGACTTGAAACAGTTGGATTAACAAGTACTGAGTAGTTTAAACTATTGTTTAAACTATAGATATTATTGGAACAGGGGTGGCATTTTTTTTCTAAGTTGGATTAATTATAATTATGTATTTACAAACATTCAAAATTAAGGCAGAATATTTATATCCAGGATGGTCAGAGGCAGATTATTTATTTTCTCGCCAGTGGACATTATTAATTTTCATCATTTTTAAGGACAACTTTTTTTTTAAATCTGCAAGACCCCCCCCCCTCCCCCCTTTTTCCCCAGAATTAATGAAATGGCCAATCCCTGACATTCAAACAAACAAAAAAAAAAAAAAAAAAAAAAAGAAGAAAGAAAGAAAAGAAAAGAATTTTAAAAAAACCTCTACCAGTGTTTTCTTCTGTGACTTTTCCACCAGCTCACTGTCTTCCGTATTTCACTGGTTTCTGGGAGTTCATTATCATTTTATAGGTACCGCAGGTCGATTTCCAGTCTCTGTTACATTCATCATCAGGAAGAGATTTTGCATTAATTTCACATTTACCGTGGTAAGCCTTGTGTTCTAAAAATAAAACAAAAATATTTATTACCTTTTCAATTTAATCTTGGTTAATGAAAAACCTATTGAAGTCACATTGTATTTAGGATTTTTTAAAAACTTATCATAAATTTCACGATGGTTCAATCTTTTGAACGCCTCTGTATTAAAAGTGAAAGTAACATGCGTATGTTTTGATATTGTTTATATAACACTGTATAAGTAAGTCAAAAGCAATTTTATTATTACTGGTTATTAAAAAGACGCAAGAAAAACTTACCCATGATGAACGCATACACTCAATCATTATAATCTGCTGATTGGAATAATGCGTGGGCTTGATGAGCCATATGTACATGTACTCTCTGTATGTACACCATAGTACATAAATGCGTATATTCTTTCACTAAGATACACATACATGTAGGCCTAAATACAAGAAATGAAATTCCGTCCTTTCTTTCGTTGTATTTAAATGGCCTTCTACAACTACTAACGTTTCGCGGATTTTAGTTTCTGTTTGTTCAATGTACGTGACGTCATAAAGGCACGTTGTGTTGCTCTCAACAGTTAGGCCTATTTGAAGATTGCATGATCATTCACTCAAGTAACAAAGATGTGGGCGATTACAAAAATTTGGAATTGTCATTATGCAGTGGAAAACAACACCCAGATGTATTTTTCTTTTCTTCAAGCAAAGCTCTGTCCTCCATCTACATGTACGGAAGTCCAACCTAAGTCTAAGACCTCTTGATTGTAAGTAATACATGCATCTGAGTAAATATGTATAAAAATATACATGTATATTTGTGTTAATTTGACAAATGCTTATTTCAAAATAACTATTTCCGAAGTAATTTCCTAAAGGTGTTTAAGGTTATTTTTAGGATTCATGATTTTCTAATGTTTAGATGTATAGCTTCTGTCGAAAGTACCTGTACATGTAAATCGTTCGTTGTTTGTTGTTTTTTTTTATGCAGAAATAAAAATGTTCGATTTCTTACGTAGAGAAAGAATAGTTGTTTTCAATTTCTTACGTAGAAAAACGTGGGAATAAATTAGGCTATGGCTTGTTTTAACTTTGCACTTAGTGTGTGATTTTTGAAATTTGCATTTGTGTGTGTGTGGTTTTTTTTTTTGTTTTTTGTTTTTTTGTTTTTTGTTTTTGCCATTTTTGAACCACTCCAGGAGACATGTGATAGCAATAGGTGACATAAACATACCTTGTGAGTGTATACAGAGCTTGCAAGTGTATTATTTTTTTAATACACGGAGATTCCATTTTTAAAAAATTAAGCCCCCTCTCTCATATTATCTAAATGAAAACAAACCTCATGCGTATTCATTTTATTCATTTTAACTGCAAACGTGTATTTTTTCCATGGGGTCATAATTCCATGGAATCACAATTTCTGCTCAATCCACGGGAAGAAAATTAAGTGGATTTCTTAAATTGCCACTATATACCTTAAATATACAGACCTGAGTTGTCCCAGTTTCTTTGGACCTTATTATATTAATGATCAGAATTAACTTTTTTTTCCCACAGCAATTATATTTGAAGATGGAAATGAAGAAAAGGTTTGCATCAAGGAACGACTTTGGAGCTAAAAGGACCTCTGTAAAAAGTTTTATGCAGCCAGAAGATTGTCTTGATGCTGTGAACGACTATTCGTTAGTGAATCTAAAATGCATGGAATTAGTTTTTGAAGACAAAAATACATGTATATGCAGTGGTAAACTTTGCAAATTCCATGTTTTTTTTAATCTAGGGATTCTTAAATACTTGTCTATTTTTTTTCTTAGCAGATTTGAAAGTGGTGAGTGAAACACAGATGGAATCTACGGCTACACTACACTACATTCTGTGATTTTTCTAGGAGATCTGAGCCTATTTGTTGGAATGGTGGCGAAGGACCATACCTTTAGGCTCTGTATTTTCAATGTTCAATATTGTGACTTATCTGGTTGCTTGATTTCAGTTTTATTTAAATTAGAAATATTTGATAGTTATTATTTATTACAGGATTTTCATTGTTATTTAAGGAATTTGTTCATTGAGTCATGAGTGTGCAAAATACATTAAATTGAAAATCTGCGCCAGGAGCATTTTAATAGGAATTAGCATATAGAGCATATTGCATCAAATTAAATGTTGTGACAAGATGATTAATTGTAATTATTTGTTAGAAACAATGCCGAAAATGAGATTTACTTGAAACAATTATGTGTAACGAACTCCAAATTTATTTTTCAGGTGAAGTACTGATAACTGCACAGAAACATAAACATACAGTAAATGGAGAAGGAGTCAGGAAGACAATGTTCTGGCAATGCAATAAAATTGTCCAAAACCATGTTTTAAAAATCATACTTTAAAATTACATTTCAGCTCAAATTTCTGCTTATTCTTTTTTAATATAAAAAATAAAAGTTAAAATTGTTGTTATATATGATGTTGCAAGTTGTCATTGTAAGTAAAAAACAAGGGAAAAGGATCTTACAAGAACCTTCATCTTTAAATGATTTCTGGATGTCTGCATTAAAAACAAGGTCTGACAAGGATGATATATATTTTTGAAAGGAACAGATTACTTGGAAGAGTCTCCCAATGCCTGCATTGGACTTTGAGAGAGTCGCCCAATGCCTGCATTGGCGCTTCTGAGAGTTGCCCAATGCCTGCATTGGCTCTTCTGAGAGTCGCTCAATACCTGCATTGGACTTTGAGAGAGTCGTACAATGCCTACATTGGCTCTTATGAGAGTCGCTCAATGCCTGCATTGGACCTTGAGAAGTCGCCTAATGCCTGCATTGGCTCTTATGAGAGATACTCCCAATGCCTGCATTGGACCTTGAGAGACTCTTCCAATGCCTGCATTGGACCTTGAGGGACTCTTCCAATGCCTGCATTGGACCTTGAGAAGTGACCTAATGCCTGCATTAGCTCTTATGAGAGAGTCGCCCAATGCCTCCATTAGCTCTTATGAGAGAGTCACCCAATGCCTCCATTAGCTCTTATGAGAGAGTCACCCAATGCCTCCATTGGCTCTTATGAGAGAGTTGCCCAATGCCTGCATTGGACCTTGAGAGAGTCTCTCAATGCCTGCATTGGCTCTCATGAGGGTCGCCCAATGCCTGCATTGGACTTTGAGATAGTCGTACAAAGTCCGCATTGACCTTTTGGAGAGTCAGGCAATGACTGCATTGCCCATTGAGTGAAAGAGAGTCCCAATGCCTACATTGGCCCTTTAGATATTCGTGCAATGTCTGCATTGGCCAACGATGAACAAATTCTTTTGACAGATTGTCATGAAATTCTTGCATTGGCTTTACTATAAAAAGATTTTCAAAATTTTTTAGACGTTGGTGATTCTTAGCGGGAATTTACAAATAATATTTCATTTTCGTAATAATCATCACTGCATTGCTGGTTTATTTATTTTCCAAGTGTTCAAATAGATTTTGTATTCCTTTAACGCTAAATTGCATTAGTCTATTACATTTAGAACAATTTCAGTTGCATATGTGATTAAGATAAAATTCAAATCAGAATGAGAAAAAAATTGAATGAACTCATAGTCAATATTTCCGTAAAGACTTTTATATGAATTTGGAAATGGGCAATTTAAGGACCCTCTCTACACTCCACCCTAATTTCAGGGTACTTTTGTGTAGTTAGACTGACCCATCATTTGATATAGAAATAGAATAAATTTTAACCTGCACTGTATGACATAATTTAAAATAAATCCAAGTATTCTAAACACCATATTAGACCAAGATAGATTAGTTGAAAACTTTATTTGCATGTATTTTCTCCATTTGAGAAAGCAAAAGTGAATTTTATTTATAATTACTTCATTATCTTTGAAGATTTTTCCTGGATAAAAAAGGCACGCTCCCTATATTAAAAATGAATTAGTTAATTTCAAAACATCCTCCTTTACGCTATATAATTTTCTCAAAGTCCAAAAAAACATTTTTCATCAGTGTATAGAGGGTCCTTAAATTAAAAAAAAAATAATTCAGACATATAAAATTTAGTTGAGACTCCATTATTGATTATATAGGGAAAATGCATAAATTCTTTCAAAATTTTCTTCTCAGCCCCTGGGTATTTTTCAAACAAAGGAAGTGCATGGTTATGATAAGGAAGAATGCCTCTTCCAAAATTGTGAAATTCATGGCCCCAGGGTCAGGGATTCTGGTGAAGGGGCCTGGGGGGCTCTATTGATTATATAGTGAAAATGCATAATTTCTTTCAAAATATTTTTTTCTACTATGGTTATAAAGCAAAGAAACAAGTGTATAGTTATGATGAGCAAATGTGCTTATTCCAGAGCCAATGGGTCAGATGTTCTGGTGTAAGGATGGGGCTTTGTTTATTTAATAATATAGTGAAAATGCATTTCTTTGAAAATTTTCTATGCTTAATTGGCATATTTGAGGCAAACAGAGAAAAGTCTTAATATGCAAGGGTATTTTTACCAGCATTTTGAACACCTGGACCATTTAATCAAGTGTTCTGGTCCTGGCCAGTGCTCTATAACTTGTATTCTGCTGAGCAAAGTTATTCCCCTTTGCCATTCACCTTTGATAATAAATCACTGTAAATAATGTATTTGAATGCTTAATAGAATAAGAGAATTATGCAAGAATATATATTGTATAATACAAAGAGTACTTTCATAGTTTTAATGATCAGGTATACTTGGAAATAATAGATGAATAAAATTGAGACATAAAAAACTTATCTTTTTTAATTGTTCTTCAAAGGCCAAGAGAGGCCAATGTGAGAAGTAATAATATGGGGTTAAAAAATAGACTGTTTGTTAATAGTCTGCATGGTAATAGTGATAAATGGGGGACAGATAGATACTAGACCAATTATTTTGTTGATGCAAATCATACTATTTTCTTGCTTTTGGGTAACAAAGCTTCATTTATCAGTTTATGCATCCTCTAAATTGTTGTATTGTACTCAGGTGACCGTTAAGGCCCTTGGGCCTCTTGGTTTTTTTATGATTTTTAGAAATAGTACATCAGATTTACAAGGAAAACAAAATGTTGAAACAAAAATGTCACACTGAAGAAAATGAACCTTTAGTAATTTTCCTCAGGATATGTATCAACAGGTCGAGGAATCTACCATATATGGATATTGTTGTCATTGCGCACAGAGGTGCTTACAGCGAGCAATTGTCCAATCCAATGAATGAGCCGAAAAGCATGATGGTCTACTACATGTTTATATTTTACTACAAACACGTGGGTCAAGCAAATTTAGGACGCGATTTCAAATGACTGCAGGAAAGTCAACTAATAATTATTTTTAATGTTTTTGTGAAAAACAGGAAGAATAGGTACTAATTAAGATTTTCCATGCTCACATTAACAAATAAAGTCAATTTTCCGTGTTAAATAGTACGTTGAAATACCGCTCACAAAGTCTTCACAAGTAAATAAGAACCCAGTTTTTATAACTTGATATTCGTAAATTTGCCATGCTACTGGTGTTATGTATTCATTGTTACTTTTTTATTTGTTTACTAGAAATTAGAAGTTAATGCAGTTATAAAAAAACATAAGTCTATTGCTGTACGGTATTTTAATTCTCATGTACATTGATCATAGAACGTGAATTGAGTAGCATATATATAGAAGTTGTATACGTAGTAAACAATGACAATACGTGAGTACACCTCAGAGTCGATTCTTTTGGACTAGGGAATAGTCACGTGAAATTCATACTGACTGATAGTACAGCACGGGAAAAACTGCCAGGCTATTGTCAAGAAACGGACTTATACAATGGAGTGAAGAAAACCCAAATTTTACCGTTTTAAAACGTATGTAAATGTGAGCATGGAACTAGTAGATAATGATGTACATATTATATTAATTAAGTGTGTAAAATGCTTGCAAAAATGCATCACATCTTTCCGAGAGCGATTTCAAAAACTGGCCTTTTCAAAACGTACATGTAGTATTTTATGTAGTAACCCATAATGCAACTCATTTAGCTGATTGGTCGGTTTGCCAGTCACGTTGGGTGCCTCATTAAGCATGTAAATTTATTCTGACGTCACAGAAAATAGTTTCCTCGACCTGATCAAGGCGAATTGCTAAGCTTCCAAAGCATTTTGAAAATGACCACTTAATCTAGCTAGTAACTGAGAGGATTCACTTACTGCATGGTCAATAGACCTGATTATAAATATTCCTGAAGGCAATTATAGAAGATATAGCTATATATATTCTTCAATTTTTAGCTCTTCTGAGCCAAAGGCTCAAAGAGCTATTATGCTATGGCCATTTGTGCGGTGTGCGTAAACTTTTTAGAATATGGGCCATAACTCAAGAACCCCTTGGCCAATTTTTGTCAAATTTGCCACAGGGTATCCTTGGCCCAAGGGCTCCCGTTTATACTAAAACTAAGGTTGTGACCCTTAAACAAAGGGAGATAATAAGGTAAATAAAACCAAAAGTACTGGTTGCTAAAAAATCTTCTGAAGAACCACAGGGCAGATTATCACCTAACTTACACAAAAGGATGAGGATATGTTGCAGATTAAAATTTGCACGGGGATTTACCTTGAGGCAAAGGGCGTGGTCTCAAGGTCACTTCAAAGTTGACCAAAAATTACATTTTATTAAAATGTTGATATTTTGCTTACTATAATGACCAGGATCATCAAATCTTGTCAGTTGATGCATCTAAGGACCTCATATCATGTTGACTCAAAAGTAGGTCACAGTGTCCTACTTTTTAAATTTTGCGGCCATTCTTTTTAAAAATGATTTAGAGGCATATTTTGAACAATTTAAGGCCTATGATCATCAAATTTGTCAGTTGATGCATCTTGGGTCCTCGGAGTAAGTTGACTGAAAAGTAGTTCAACGTGACATACTTTTGAAATTTTATGGCTTTATTTAAATATTTCAGGCTCTAATTGGATTAGAATCATTAAACTTTGTCAGTTGATGAATCTTGGGTCCGATTCATATGTCGACCTAAATGTATGTCACTCTGAACAACTTTTGGAATTTAATGGCGATATTTAAATATTTTTGGGAACTAATTTGATTAGAGTCATCAAACTTTGTTGGCTGATGCATCTTGGGAGTTTGGAGTATGTCAACTGAAAAGTAGGTCACTGTGACCTGATTAAATATTTTTTAAGGTACTAATTGGCTTAGAATCATCAAACTTTGTCAGTTGATGCATCTTGGGTCCTTAAAGTATTTCATTTGAAAAGTAGGTCACTGTGACCTACTTTTGAAATTTTATGGTTATAATTAAATATTTTAGGTATTAATTGGCTTAGAATCATCAAACTTTGTCAGTTGTTGCATCTTGGGTCCTCAGAGTATGTCAACTGAAAAGTAAGTCAACATGACCTACTTTTGAAATTCTGTGGCTTTATATAAATATTTATTGTACTAATTGGCTTAGAATCATCTTGGGTTCTCAGAGTGTTTTGTCTAAAATGTAGGTCATGATGACCTACCTTTGGAATTTCAAGGCTTTATCTAAATATACAGGATACTTCAAATAGAAGTGGTAGGCTGTACAGTTTATTAGAAGAAAAACAAAAAAAACAAAAAAACAAAAAAAACATCAACTACCAAAATTCCTTAACAAGCAAAAAAGGTCATCAGACGTTTTTATTGAGGGGGCACAAGCACACATTATCTATGTTTACTATAGTAATCTATATATCGGCAAAATTATTGGGGGGGCACGCCCCCCCCCCCCCCCCCCCCCCGGTTGCTACGGCCATGTTAATAGTATCTGTTTGTGATTAAAAAATCAGTAAATAACGATGGAAAGAACTTGCGCATTCAATTCAGGTGTCATACACAATTAAAACACTGGAATGCTAATTTATGTGTAAAATTCAGTCAAGTTTTTAACAGCTACAATATATATTGTCCCATTTTGCATATATATCCCTTTTATTATGCATATTTACTTCTCAAACGTATCATTTTCTCTGTAATTGATCTGACTTAAACATCAACTTTGAAAGTAAATATCTCCTTTTTTGCAAATAGAATAAAAAATCTGACAAATATGATCTCTTCCGATGTCTTTCATGTAGCATGTCTGAGTACTGGCATAATTGCCATACTTTCCAAAACTTTGCACAGACAGTTTTTGTAGACCCATCATTTTTGCCAAAAAATCGCCATTTTTGTGTGTGTGTGCGCATGTGCGGACTCTTTTTTTCAGAGTCATTTTCAGTCTCAATTTCTTACTTCCAGAAATGCTGTTTTTGGAGTTTGTCTAGACTAATCAAGCAAACTGTCATGCTGTTAGTAAAACGATAATAAATGACCCAGATTTTCATGTAGCATGGATGGCTAGTTTGTCAATTACTGTAAAAGTGGTTATTTAGGCAAGGGGGAAATTTACACTACGTATGTGGTAAGCTTAGAACAGCGTAAAATACCCCTGCGCATATGGTCACAAAATTTGAGAGCTGAAAGCTCAAGTGAGCTTTTCTGATCACATTTTGTCTGTAGTCCGTCTGTCCGTCTATCTGTCTGTAAACTTTTCACATTTTCGACTTCTTCTCCAGAACTACTGGGCCAATTTCAACCAAACTTGCCATAAAGCATCCTTGGGTGAAGGGGATTCAAGTTTGTTCAAATGAAGGGCCACGCCCTCTTTCAAGGGGAGATAATAAAGAATTAGTGAAAAATTAATAGCATCTTTTAAAAATCTTCTTCTCAAGAACCACAGGGCCAGGAAAGATGAAACTCATGTGGAAGCATCTTCAGGTAGTTTAGATTCAAGTTTGTTCAAATCATGACCCCCGGGGGTAGGGCGGGGCCACAATGGAGGATCCAAGTTTTACATAGAAATACAGGTGACTCTCGATGGCTCGAACTCCGATCTCTTGAAGTTCTCGATCTCTCAAAGTGAACCTCCGGTCCCGTTTTTTTTCCTCTGTATAACTAAGCAAATTTACTTCTGATCTCTTAAACTTCCGATCTCTCGAAGTTCTCTATCTCTCAAACCAAGAACTGGGTCCCGTTACACACATTTCATTGTTTTTTACTCTCTATCTCTCGAAGTTTCGATTGCGTACAACCCTATCAAGTGTAAAATTAATGCAGCTTGGACTTGTCTGGATAACAGTGACCGCCTGAGGCTGGCATGGAGGTGTTAATTGGGTGTTTATAAAGATAACACTATACCTGTGAGCATCAGAGTGTTGATATAATAATTGATTATAATTGGTAAATTATAAACGAATTGCTTCACAACTTATTTTGACTTTGAAGACAGTGAGACGATAATTTTTAGAAAATAATTGAAGAGACATGTCAATAATTTTCCATAGATTATGAAGTTTTATTAGAGTCTACCTAATCCCAGTATGACAAACATGCACGAGAAATCCTATCTCAAGAATTAAATACCGATTTAATACGAGAATTCTGGTGAAGGACCCGGTCAACCTCGGGGGGTAGCCACACTGACGATTGTTATTCAGGTTTCATGTAATCATGAAATGAGAACAAATAAATATTGGAACTTAAAGAGATAGTTTTATTTATTCAAAATACGATCATTGTTGTTGAAATCAAGTGAATTACCTGTAAACACGAATGAAAACGTGCAATGACGTTATCAACATATACTTCCGGTATTTATAATAGTAGAACATTGATGATCGGAACTGAAAATTATGGATTTTATTCACTTTCTATCTCTCGAACCCCTCGATCTCGAGAACTTTTCTTGCGGTCCCTTGAACTTCGAGAGATCGAGAGTCACCTGTATATAGGAAAAACCTTTAAAAATCTTCTTCTCAAGAACAGCAAAACCTTGATGAGTCATATTTATATGGAAGCATCCTCAGGTAGTGTAGATTCAAGTTTGTGCAAATCATGACCCCCGGGGGTAGGGCGGGGCCACAATGGAGGATCCAAGTTTTACATAGAAATATATAGGAAAAACCTTTAAAAATCTTCTTCTCAAGAACAGCAAAGCCTTGATGAGTCATATTTATATGGAAGCATCCTCAGGTAGTGTAGATTCAAGTTTGATCAAATCATGACCCCTGGGGGAAGGGCGGGGCCACAATGGAGGATCAATTTTTTGCATAGAAATATATAGGAAAATATCTTTAAAAATCTTCTTCTCAAGAACAGCAAAACTTTGTTTAGTCATATTGATATGTAAGCATCCTTAGGTAGTATACATTCAAATTTGTTCAAATCATGACCCCTGGGGGTAGGGTGGGGCCACAAGGGGGGATCAAAGTTTTACATAGAAATATAGGAAAAAACTTAAAAAATCTTCTTCTTAAGAACAGCAAAGCTTTGTTTAGTCATATTGAAATGGAAGCATTCTCAGGTATTGTAGATTCAAGTTTGTTCAAATCATGACCCCCGGGGGTAGGATGGGGTCATAATTGGGGATCTAAGTTTTACATAAGAATAAAGAGGAAAAAATCTTCGTCTCAAGAACAGCAAGGCCATTTGTTATATTGATATGAAAGCATCCTCAGGTAGTTTAAAATTAAAGCCCCCCGTAAACTTTTCAACACTGAATTGATTTGTGCTTTTACCTAGCCATTGTGTTCAGGTGAGCAATGTAGCCCATGGGCCTCTTGTTAATTGTGCAATGAAAAATGCATCTTCATATTAAGTATTATATAGCAATGTCACGCAATTAAAGCTTCAAAACATTGATACTCATTTTCATTTTATTTTATGTACTATATGTCTCTCTTAATTTTAAATAATTAGTCCAAAAGATTACACAAACTCGTAGTCACTACAAACATACCTATTGAATTAATTGTCAACTCTCCCCACGCAGAAAAAGATAAGTAGATCCCGCTTTTGACTGTGCAGATCGCAGTTATATTTAGCAATCCTATCGATGAACAGTATTAATTCTTTCTGTTTTGTTTTGTTTGTTTGTAATTATTTCTAATTTATTTTTCTTGTTCATGTGTGGAAACTTCTTGACCTTTTCAAAAGGGAACAACTCGATGTTAGTAATGATGGCCATGTAAATTTTTCTCGGTAACTCTTGCGACCGCATATATTACACCCACATGTATTATGTTTGACAGTCCAAATGCGTACTTAACAACCAGTGTAAATAACCATGTATAGTGACCATGATTATCACTTGACTGACAAGCAATATCAGTCATACTCTTATCATGTGCATTTTGCAGGTGTTAACATAAAGTTTAGGCTTCAAGAAGTTCAGGCTTTATGTACAGAGAGATCTTTCTTCTTCTGATTTTCAGAGATGAGTATGACTTCCTGCCAGTTCAAGAACCCAAACACAACAGAAGTCCCTTAGTTTTACAGGAGCATAAGTTGGGGATTGAATCATGGAGTATCAAGATTCTTTTTCAGTATGCTTATCATCGGCTCATCTCTTGGAAAAAAAACTTGCCACAAACAAAGTTCATAGGTATGTTAAATGGCTAGGGTCCATTGAAAAAGAAATTGATAAATATTGATTGATGAAGGGTAACCTGGTTAAGAAAGCTAATCAACCTCAACATGCAGTAATATTTTGCAGACCAGAAAATCGACCAGACTTTGACATATTATTGTTTTATTAACAGCATGACAGTTTGCTTGATGGGGCGTGCTAAAATTTTGTATGCTGATTGTCATATTACTCATCGATTGGATGTTTGATTTCAATGGAATCATCTGTCTGTCCATCTGTAAACTTTTCACATTTTCAACTTCTTCTGAAAAACCACTGGGCCAATTTTAACCAAAGTTGGTAAAAACATCCCTGGGTAAAGGGAATTCTAAGTCGTTATAATGAGGGATCAAGCCCCCTCCCAAGGGGAGAGACTCAAGAAAAGACAACAATAGGATGGGGTCATTAAAAATCTTCTACTCAAGAACCATTGGGCCAGAAAAGCTGATACTTATTTGGAAGGTTTCTGAGGTAGTGTAGATTCTGAATTATTCAAATCTTGTCAAAGGTAGGATGAAATAACAAAAGGGAATAAAATTTTTACATTGAAATATATAGGAAAAATCTTTAAGAAAAACCTTCTTTTCAGGAGCCGCTGAACCAGAGAAGCTGAAACTTATGTGAAAGCTTGTTAAGGTAGTGAGATTCTAAATTGTTCAGATCATGGTTCCCAGGGGGTAAGATGGGGCCACAATAGGGAATTAAAAGTTTTACATTGAAATATATTGGAAAAATCTTTAAAAATCTTCTAAGAACTACTAAACCAGAAAAGCTAAAACTTTTGTAGAAGCTTCCTAAGGCAGTGTAGTTTCTAAATTGTTCAGATCATGGTCCCTAAGGGGTAGGGTGGGGCCATAATAGGGATTATAAAGGGAAAAATTGTTGAAATTTCTTAGGAAATCAAAGCCCTGATGAATCATTTTAATGTGGAAGCATCCTCTGGTAGTGAAGATTCATTTTGTTCAAATCACAGTTAGTGATACAGTGATAGTTGCAGACGATTGAAAAATCATCGTTGGAAGGTTGGTGATGCCGACAATCAATAGCATTGCAGCTAATTCGATAGTCACTATATAGACCTATGTAGCTACTTAAAATGCTACATCGTAATATAGATTAACTTTTTAGCTCACCTGAGCCAAAGGCTCAAGTGAGCTTTTCTGATCAAAATTTGTTGTCTGTCGTCGTCGTCGTTGTCGTTGGCGTTGTCGTTGTTGTAAACTTTTCACATTTTCATCTTCTTCTCCAGAACTACTGGGCCAATTTCAACCAAACTTGCCACAAAGTATCCTTGGGTAAAGGGGATTCAAGTTTGTTCAAATGAAGGGCCACGCCTTCTTCCAAGGGGAGATAATTAAGAATTCGTGAAAAATTAATGGCATCATTAAAAAATCTTCTTCTCAAGAACCACTGTGCTTGAAAATATGAAACTTATGTGGAAGCATCCTCAGGTAGTGTAGATTCAAGTTTGTTCAAATCATGACCCCTGGGGGTCGGGTGGGGCCACAATGGGCGATCAAAGTTTTACATAGGAATATATAGGAAAAATCTTTAAAAATCTTCTTCTCAAGAACAGCAAAGCCATGATTGGTCATATTTACATGGAAGCATCCTCAGGTAGTGTAGATTCAAGCTTGTTCAAATCATGACCCCCGGGGGGTCGGGTGGGGCCACAATGGGCGATCAAAGTTTTACATAGGAATATATAGGAAAATAAAAAAGTGGTTCGGGGGGGGGGGGGGGGAGCTATGTGGCCCCTGGGCCTCTTGTTTATGTAGTGTTTCCTTTTTAGCTCACCTCAATGAAGTTTGGGGGAGTAACTTAAAGCCCTATGTTGACCAACTTGCATGGATGATACATCTAAAGATGGACACTTCTAGGCTTGCTTCTGATGCTGAATCTGACCTACATTTTTCGGATGAGTGACTAGGTTAAAGTTTTTGGAGTAACTTAAAGCCCTATATTGACCAAACTTGCATGGATGATATATCTAAGGATGCACACTATTGGACTTGCTTCGGATGCTGGATCTGACATACATTTTCCGGATGAGTGACCAGGCCACCTTTAAAATAATGTTTGCTTGCCCTCTCCTGACTCAAGGTGAAAAAATTAGGTCGGTAAGTAGGTAAAAAAAAAACTTTCTCAGAAAATTTCAATTTCAATGCTAAATTTTTTATAATTTATGGTCCAGAATACATAAAAAAAAATAATTGCTTCCTGGAGGTTAAAAAAAGTTTTGAGTTGGGCCATTTTTAGCCAGTCGGTCGGGAGAGGGCAACCAAACAATTTTTTAAAGATGGCCCCAGGTTAAAGTTTTTGGAGCAGGTCTATTTTCCGAGTAACTATAAGCCCTATATTGACTAAACTTGCATGGATGATACATCTGAGGATGCACACTACTGGACTTGCAGATGCTGGATCTGATTATCTCTTTTTATTATTGAATCTGAAACAAGTCAAGGTCACTGAGAGTTTTTTTTTTAAATTTATAATGTTACATTCTAATTAAAATATATCTTACCATTTTTTTTTAAATGTTTATTCAATGGTGATTGATAGACATATTAAGTAATTTTTTTTAAATAGAAAACTTCTTGACAAGACAGTTATTAAATCAATTGAAGAGAGTAGAAAAAAAATATTAAAAGAAGTCATTAGGTTTCAAAGAAAGCCACATAATAAGTGACAATAAATGTATACTAGCTGTGACTACCAATTAAGATACAAACTATATTTTTCAACTTTTTTTTTTTTCTTTTCACAAAGTTCATTCTGGTGAAATGGACTTGGTGACCAAGATACAAGATCAGTATGATTTACTTGTAGACACAAAGGGAAACTAAGGCCAAATATAAATATCGATATTGTCCATCATTCATTTCTGGTAGCTTGAGAGTCTTCTCTAACTTCAAACCCTGTATCTAGGTACTGGTAATTATCACCTTTGATTGTGTTGAACTTATATCTTGACTAATTATGCCTGTGTTGAACTTATATCTTGAATAATTATGCCTGCCCAGCTAATTACAGGTTATAATTCATTGAATTATTAGTCCCCTACCGGTGAAACCGGAGGGGACTATAGGTTTCCTCTGAGTCTGTCCGTCCGTCTGTCCGTCCGTCTGTCTGTCTGTCCATCTGTCTGTCTGTCTGTCTGTCCCTCTGTCTGTCTGTCAGTCTGTCCCACTTGGTTTTCCGCACTTTTTTCCTAAACGCTTGCAGATATTGAGCTGATTTTTGGTATGTGAGTGTATCTTGATGAGTTACAGATCAAGTTTGCATTTCGTTCCGCTTCATTGATTTTTGACGGAATTACAGCCTTTTCAATTTTTAAGGGTTTTCCGCAATTTTCTTCTAAACGCTTGTAGATATTGAGGTGATTTTTGGTATGTAGCTTTACCTTGATTAGTTATAGATCAAGTTTGCATTTCGTCCCGCTTTATTAATTTTTGACGGAATTATGGCATTTTCAATTCTTAACGGGAACCAGATTACACTTGCCAGTAGGGGACTAGTATTGCTAATGCAATACTCTCAGAATGCTTGTTACCTGTGCCCGCTGGTCATTAGAGAATTCTCGCGTGGGGTAATTATTGTCCCATTAATAATCTATCCTGTATTGACAGTTTTTAGGAAAAAAGTGCGGAAAACCAAGTGGGACAGACTGACAGACAGACAGAGGGACAGACAGACAGATGGACAGACAGACAGACAGACGGACGGACAGACGGACGGTCAGACTCAGAGGAAACTATAGTCCCCTCCGGTTTCACCGGTAGGGGACTAAAAATAAGTGGCCGGATTAGAGTAGATAATTTGTACTAATTATGAGCAGTTAGTTCTTTAAATAGCGGCCGGTTTACAGAATAGGCAAGATCTGGATTGAACAAAATTTATTAAACATAAATTATAAAGAAAATTCAAGGGACTAAATTATTACGCCGGAGTGAACAACATGCTGGAATGCACAACATCCAGATTCAACAAGTTTGACTATATATATATATATATATATATATATATATATATATATATATATAAGGGATGTCAACGAGTACCCGGTTAACCGGGTACTCGATCGAACGTCCGAGTATCGAATGTTAAAAATGGTACTCGGTTACTCGGATGTATATTTTTTTTTATTTTGGAGTATATATTTTTATCAAAAACTTATCAAAAAAAAAACTTAAATACACAGGTACACACCTATTGTTGTCCTTAATTTTTGAATGCCTTCAATGATTGTTTTTATTGTACATCGTTTAAGTATGGTCTATTATCTTTAATTCAAATCATTTTTAAATTATTTACTTAATATACGGCAGCGAAATTGGACATGCATAGAACTGCCGCTACCCACTTCAAAAGTGAAGAAATATTTAGAAATAACTAAAGATTTAAAAAAAAAAAAATGCTGAAAGTCAGTTTGCGTAGTAGGTTTAGTGTATACCATGGAAACAACCAACATATGAAAAAATATTAGACTAGCGATCCCAACAGCGTCCGTTCCTTCCCTTTCACTATCCTTTTCATCACAAACCTGCGTAACCTCCTTTTGCATTGATCAAATAGATCCTAAACAAGAACTGTAAACCATTTGTGATTTTTGATGCATTAATTGTGTCTTTTGTGTTCATTTGATAAATAAATTTCAGAGGTTAACGTGGCTCAAGAAAATTAACACACTTTTATTTACATTTTTACCGTGTACCCTGGTACTTGATCGGAAAAACCTCCGAGTAACTGATTATCAAAAATTGACTGATCTGACATCCCTTATATATATATATATATATATATATATATATATATATATATATATATATATAGTACCATAGAAAATCAAAGTTTTACAAGGGAATTATAAGAAAAACATATTTTTTAAAAGATCTTTTGATTAACAACCAGACCATGAATAGTCATATTAATATGCAAGTATCGTCAGGTTGTGAAAGTTTGAATTTTGTGCAAAA